TTAGGTTGTGTGTTCTGAACGACTGTTGGATATCAAGGGATTTACACTAGACACATTTATATACCACCGTGATGATATTAAAAGTTCCCAAATTACACGTAGATCATCTGAAATTATTTTCGAAAAACCAACTGTGTTGAATCGGGTCGGGGTGATATTTTCTAAGCAGTTCATTTGCTTGAAAGGACACGAGAGGCCGATTCTAATTATGCATGGCGCGATGATGTAAATGTTTTGCAAAACATACACGTTAGACGTCTAAAAGGTTCTATCTACAGAGAGTTCCATTACCCGCTGTTCGCAGCATAGCTAATTCACTGTCACGAAATGTCGTCTGCTTCCAGCTAAAGGAGTCTTCCACGAGGGAAGGTCATCATTCACCATCTGTTGTTGAATAACCCCGAGGTATTAACTATCGTCACCAACAGCCACAGTCTGGCTGCCACCTCTCCGGCTCCTTGTGGGGTTCAATCAGTGCCACATCTTTCAGCGTGTTCTGGTTTCCATAGCTATCGTACTACGAGTCACAATTGGCAATGTGTCAGATTGATATCCAGACATGTTACCGTATCTGTTAAACGAAAACTCTGACTCAAATATCAATCATCTACAACTTCCATTATGTTGTTAACTGACGGGAAGTAGGAATTTTGAATAATTTGATCTGATTTAACAGAGCCACGTGAATCTACCTAATAAAGATGTGTCATTATGCAGCATTATATTTCACAGAAATATCAAACATGACTTTTTCAAGTGTTTATGATTCCAAATTCCATTGAGGAGAAGAAAAAAGAAATCAGCTTCTTCGTCAGATTGGATTGCATATTGCGTATTGTAAATATAATGAAACGGGTTTTAAGATAGATTGAACACTGCGCGACACACTCTATATTTTGCAAAGAGCAGTTTATTTGACAGCCACATTATTGGTAGCACCACTTACGAGGGTCGATCAAAAAGTACGTTGCCTAACTATATTCTCGATGTCCAATGTTTGAAAAGCTTCCATTTTATTTTGAAGGAATCGTTAGCAAAGCCATATCCAAAATGTCACTTGTGTGGGTAATGAGTTTAACCAGATATTTGTATCACAACACATTGGGGTATAATATGTCTAACGAAATTGCAGAAAATGAAAAACGATTTGTCTTTTGGTACCTCTTGGATAATGGTATACCCTCAGATAATGTCATAAAAAATATGTTCAGTATAGTATTGGATGACTTCCCATCATGATCAACAGTCAAAGATTTGGATTGCATGATTTATATTTTTTCGAGGGCTATTTTTTAAGGACACCCCCATTTTAATCTTTCAAAAGCATTGTGTCCAGATATTCAAGCTGGCACTGTTTACAATATATTGTTAGCTGACACTTGTGTGACCATTCAGTATTTAGTTTGAACCCTTCGCCTGGATGAAGTCGGCTGGTCTTAAATGTGAAACTGAGGGCTTCCTTTTTGCTGCTCAGGACCAGTCACTTCCCACTCGTGATCGCCTAAATGTGATTCTTAAAGAAAATACCAACATGAAATGTCGACTCTGAAATGAATTCACAGAGACTGTCCAACACCTTGTCAGTGGATGCCCTTCCTTGGCACAAACATCATATCTTAAACGACATGATGGCATGGCTCGTTGCTTTTACTACCGTCTCCGACATGCCTGTGGCTTTGACTCTGAGGTCCATCCATGGTACGACCCTGAACATGTCCAGGGCGTCATGGAAAATGATGCTTTCAAACTTCTGTGGAATAGGCCCATATACATGTACAGCCTGAGGAGAATTCCAGCAAACAAACCTGATCTTGTCCTTTTTGATAAGCCAATGAATTTATATATATCATTGAATTTTCTGTCCCTTTTGACACCAATGTGATTGGCAAGATTCAGGAAAAGCATACTAAGTATGTGGACCTCGCCTTTGAAATGTCTCGCTTGCATCCCAAGTACACTGTCGTCAGGCTCCCCATTGTTCTCGGTGCTCTAGGATTGGTACCTCCTGATCTCTTGGCGCAGATCAGGAGAGTACCCGGGTTCTCCACCGGGAGTACAGCCCTTCTGACACTCTGGGTAATGCAAAAGGCTGCAGTGTTGGGGAGCCTTCATATTCTCCGGAAAGTTCTTGGTGGGTTCGACTAGGCAGCGTTTCCTGGGAGAAGTCCCATTCGCTGTCTGGGCTGCGTGTAGAGGAGGCAAGGGCCCTGAGCTGATGATGAGCCTTACCAGCCTGACTGTGCCAGGATCACCCAAACCCTCTCTGCTGCATATTATCTTTAATCTGTAAAACATAATAATAATAAAAAGAGTGCATTTATATTGCCCTAATACTCCACGCTCATTGAATGTTCGAAGCGCCCATTAAAAGTCTAGTTAAGGAAAGCTCTTTTAAACAGATGGATCTTCAGTGAGTGAGTGAGTGATTTGAATGTTGGAGCAAGTCTTATGTCAATAGGATGTTGTTTCCATTCTGTCGCTGCCGAGTAAGAGAAATAGCGATGCCCATAACTTAGTTGTCAGGACACAGAGGAGATGTTGTGCTTAAGATCTGAGAATTCTAAGTGGTCTATAACGCTGCAGTAGCTCACACAGGTACTCTGGTGCATCACAAGCAATGCATTTGTACGCAAGGCACAGGACTTTGTAGGAAACTTTGTAGGAAACGCGTTCTTTCACTGGAAGCCAATATCAGTGAAGCTCTCGTAAGATGTTAAACGGTCGTCATGGGTCCGTTACGATACAGTTACAGTTCCATACGTTGGAGTACGCTGACACATCAAATGTGATTCTGATGTTATATTCATGATTGACATATCGTAATTGTGCTGTTGTCATTCATACATGTACATTAAAATGTTGTGTATCAATATCACTTACGCCTTTCATTTTGTAGGTGTATATTTCATGCCTAAATGTAAAACCAACAAATTTCTCTTCCGAAAACGATCAAAGTTAAGACGCCTATATGCACTAACCCAATTTTCTCGATGAAAGTGAGAAAATGCCTTTTCCCAATCTCAAAGTGAAAACAACATTATGCACTTTCTCAAAGAGAAAACACCGACATGTTTCAAAGAGTCAGACTTAAGAACCGTGTCCCACTTAGACACAAATTGAACACACACACATAAGTATATACCAGTTTAGATTCCAAGGCATGGTCCTTAACGAAGTGGCTAGTTATTGCCACCGCAACGTGATCTCAAAAATCGTATTCATTTAGTATCGTAATTAATAAAACATCTCTATCGTGCAACCTTTTTCGCAAATACCCTGTGCCATCTCGGATTTTCAGTGATTCCTGCACTTATTTCTGGCAGCATTTTGCTTTTTACTGACGGAGGAATTTGTTTTGGTAGATGATAATGATACGTTTCTTATTGTGTAGAAAATAAATTAAGGTTACTGGTTATTACCTTAATTCCCAAAATCATTAAAGACATATTTGTTTTGAAAGTCATTTAAAAGTTTCGAAATCTGAAACTAATTTATTTAGACATATGCCTTTGATGTTCAAACTTTTGTAAACATCTCCTGAATCTTCTGAGACAATGGTTATTCAATCATCACTACCACAACATAATATGATCTGGCTGAAATATCAAATGCAAGAAGTAGTAATGGTAAATCACCATCGGAGGTTTACTTTCTGTCATTGGACAAGACAGATAAGGCACAGTAATAAAGAATCTTGTAGTAAAAAATGAATTTGATATTTGGTAAAAACAACACATGCAAAAAATACTTTTGGTGGAAGAATAAGTACACGTAACGTATCATCAACGTAGTGAGTTTGGAATGGTGATGGTAACAGGTATGGGCGTCGTGTGTGAAGCCATGAGCTGTTGTGACATGGTAATGGTGGAAAGATGCTGTGGTTTCCAGAACTGTAATGACTGACTGACTGACTGTGTTTGGTTTTACGCCGCTTTTAGCAATATTCCGGCAACATCACGGCGGGGGACACCAGAAATGGGCTTTACACATTGTACCCATGTGGGGATTCGAACCCGGGTCTTCGGCGTGACGAGCCAACGCTTTAACCACTAGGCTACCCCACCGCCCACAACTGTAATGAAGTTGATGAAAACGCAAATAATCAACCAGATGAAACTTCGGTATAGCATTAACCAAACTGTTTACATCTACCCTTTGTCATAAAATGTGTTTTTTGTGGGTAAGTGACAAAGAGAAAATGTCGGGAAAACAAAATTATTCCTTCAATTTCTTGCGACCTTACACTTACTATAGACTAATTTCGATTCAATCGCCCAGAAGATATCTATATTCATAAATTTGTTATATATGGAAAGCAAATGAAAGCGGCAATTTTGATAGTAAGTTGGATATAACAATGCTTCAAACAGAATATTTGTTATATCACGTTTGTCACGGTCGTGGTGTTGACAAACACACATGGATTCAAGGACGATCAGGGGTTCGCAACGGCTATCAGATGCTTCTAACGCGTCGAAAGGACGCAGCCCAGCGCTGCAAGCTGCAGCGTCTACGACGGACAGTGCATCACCGCTCTCTACTTTAAAGACAAATCATGTGACACAGGTGAAATAACAAAGGGCATGCCAAGTATTGCTGAAGATGGATACTGTAATGAAGTTGACCTGGAAACAAATACAAGAAAAAGCTCTCACACGGACGTTTTTAACCGCTTATAACATCATCCAAATCGGGTATGACATTAATCAAATGCACAAACATGGTTGCAAAGCATTGAGAAGGAGACAAGTATTGGTAGTTATTGTTTCCCCGTAAAATATTGACATACTTATTGGTTATATGTCTCTATCTATACAGATGTTATTCACATTGCCTCGAAGAATCAAAATTGGTAGTCTTTTGCGTTTAGAGTATCGGGATATTCCGTTGCAGGAATTTATAAATTTACTTTGAACTTCACTCCGAAACAAGCAATTACATTCACCCTTACATCACAATTGCAATAGCATTTACCGAGCACATGTGATACATTGGTAAAAAATGGTACCATGTTTATTTTACGTCAGAATGATAAGTCTTCAAGAATGTTCATAACTTGTGGAGGGGTAGTGGTTAAATTGTTTGCTCGTCACGCTGAATGTGCGGGCAGGATTCCTCACATGGGTACAATGAGCGAAGCCCATTTCTGGTGTCACCAACCGTGATATTGCTGGAATATTACTAAAGGCGGTGTAAAACTAAAACTAAACCTCACTCACTAACTCACTGATAACTTGTGAACTGTTGAGGGAATGGATTGACATTACAGACTGGGAGACACTAACGTCGTTTTGGCATATCGTTAAAGTGTTAATTGATTGCATGACGTATATAAAGTCGTTAGTACGTTTCGTGTGTGATTTCAGAGACTGGTTCAGATGGATTCATTTTTGTCTTCCGATTGAGGGTAGGTAACCACTATAATTAACATCACATCACATATCAGACACTAGCGGACGTACTGCACGCGCCTTTGGCGAGCCGCACCAAAACCGGCACGTGTGTGTGTGTGTGCGCGTGCGTGCGCGCGCGTGTGTCTGCGTATGTGTGTGTTTGAATGTATGGCTGAATTAATGGATTAATTATTTTACAATATAGACTTCTTTGATGTCCACACACATCTGAAAACAAAGCTTGAGTGTCTGGACCCAACTGGTGTCCAGCTTGTTCAGCGTGACCTGATCAAGTGAATACTAATGCATTGCGTGACCGTGTCAGAACTGGTTGGGTCTATTATTGTGAAGGGGTGCACCTTTGTCAGTTGATCGTCAACATGTCCGAACAGCCGAGACAAGGTTGTCAGTGTCGAGAAATCGTCAGCAATGTCTAACTTTCTTTTAAAAAGAAGCTAGAAGTAATAATTTAACTGGGTGTAGAGAATGATAGCGAGAGTAAATCGGATTGTGAAAGTAACTGCCGTCTGTAAGTTGTAAAGTTAGCAAACCAAACTAGATAGCACATGAGTGTATAAACAATTCAATTAAAACATGAAATGAATGATTGTTTTTTTCAGAAGTGTTTTTTAACGAATTCATGTATGCATGCTTCGCACGAACGCAACACCAATAACATTCTCTGCTCCCCTATTCTAATGAAGTTAACTCGACCTGCCGTTTGTACCATTTGACCTCCCAGGTCATGCATATGTAAAGTAGCTCAGGTCAAGCTGAACAAGCTGTAGAAACTTCCTCCTGGTGGGATAAAGGTTCTTCAAGGGAGTAGTGACACCTAAATCATTGCTCAACAGTTCTTTCTTTACATTTCGGAAGAGATGGAAATCTTGTTGACGCTTCTGTCGAATACGAAGGTGGTTTGCAGAAGGTTCAAAAAAGTTCTGCGCCACCATCTTGCCAACTGAAGGAACATACACTGCCTTCCTCTGTAAAGACGACGCGGGATGTTTCCGTAGCCTTGACTGCTGTTTAGATGGAGGAGGACCAGGTATAGTTACTATTCATTCAATATAATGAGCTGGATCTGTTTCACGAGATACGAGGAATCCGGAGACGCCAGGAGCCCTGGAACCACCTTGCATGCTGAAAGCTTTCGCATGCCCAGTTCACAACGCCATGTGCTGTGAGTTGTCGATCACACATAATCATATCATGTAGGATCAGCTAGTGTTTCTTGTCCTCCTGATCACCTTCGAAGCGCTCTATGTGCATTTGTAGCTCTGCTGTCCAATACCTAGCTGTTGCAAAGGAAGGATCATCATCCCCTGCAATTAAAATCATGTCCGCATTCATGGCTGTGGACAGTCCCTCAAGAATGCACCGGAACCACTTTTGTGCATCTGCATCAACAGTAAATAGTCATCCTTTCCATAACAGTTAGTGAACTTGGTTCAAATACAGCCTGTGTATTGGGACAACCACAGGCAATTTGTTGACGGTTTACCCTTTTAAATCATGGTTAAGTTCGGAAAAGTTTCAGTCACACCTCGGAATTCGATAACATTTTCAGGATATAAAGTAGTAAGTATCAAGTTACGGTGCTAAGCAAGTTACGCCTGTTCTCAGTGAACCGTCATTGTCAATCACTGTAATGACGTCACATTTCCACGAGGAAAACATGTTCAAATCAAATGAATCCTTAGAAAACGCATAAGCTCTATAGCAACAAAACAGCTATGTACAAATGCGTGATAGGAGATCTTACGTCAGAGACAAAATTATTTTAACTGGACCGAAAATACTGAAAGCAGGATAAATCATCATATTGACTAATGTGTGTGATGAACTCCGCACATAGGGCATAACACGTTCGACGAAGTAACAAGGAAGGAGATAACACTATTACCACATTGTGGTGTTTCCGCAGCTACCCTTCCCTGTAAATGTTGTTCGATGTTACAACCGTACGTTCAGGGCCCTGAAGGGACACGGGCGTGGGAAAGTCGATCCAGCTGCCAGGTGAACCGCGAGCTAATTTCATGACTTTTTGATACCGATATTCGTTGAGCTGCCTGATCAATACTGATAAAAAGTCAAATAATAATACAGCCTAATGGAACCGCCATGATGATTAATTCCGTCCAACAATAACGTAACAAAAAGCGTTTGTACAGCGAAGTTGCCCGGATACAAAACGATTATGGATAGAGAATTAACGACTGTTTGGTTGGTCGTATGTGCTACACAATTAGGGGTGTTGTTGGGGAATTGTTGTGGTATTAGAAAATGAACAGGTTAATCTGGTGGAATATAATGTAATTGAATGCGCGATGTATTTTCGGATATACCATCTTTAAATGCATTTAACAAAATGATATCATTTGATGTCTCAATTCTTTTGAATGTTTATATCATGGCTGCTTCTGGAAAGTGAGATAATATAGAGACGAAGCTTCATTTTCACCACACTTAACCGATGAACCGATGGGTAATACATATGTGTCTGCGAGGCGTAGGGAAATGGGTATGAAGGTGACAGTCTGCTAACGGTGACCAGTCATTGGACAACCGGAAAAAATCCTTGTTATACCTGGACAACGTAAATAATATAATGTATCAGCATTCGGCACATCAGAGGCACGATTGTCTAAGTCGCCGTAAGTCCTGTTGCAAAGTTGTCTGCCTTGGGCTCACCAAGAACAAATGGTTGAGATCGAGGCTGCTTCTGGAGAATGAAATATTTTGAGACGAAGCTTTATTTTCCACCACACTGAACCGATGATAGTGCTCTGGCTGAGCAATGGATATGTGTGCAGACGTATGGATATGGGGTGAAAGTAAAAGTCTGCTGACGGTGACCAGTCATTGAACAACTAAATAAATCTTTGTTTTACCAGTATAACGTAAATACTATAATGTATAAGAATTCTGCACGTCAGGGGCACGAGTGTCTAAGTCGCCGTAATTCCTGTTGCAAAGTTGCCTGCCTTGGGCTCACCAGGAACAAATGGTTGTGTTTGAACCCTATTTCGGCCAGATAATTGTTCTGGGTTGAGTTGTAACAATCGTTCTCAGCGTTGCAGCGTGATGTGACGGGAAGACTCGAAGTGATACAAACTTCTGAGTTGCGGAACTCTTACACAGATAGGATGCTTGCAAACCATGATCATGAAAGTATCTGCTATAAAAATTACACTGGAATTATTTTGTTGGAAAAAATATATCCTTGTCTTCATTAATAACGTATCAAGTCTCCATATAAGATCCCAGCCTGCTCGAGTAGATATAATATAAGCGACGTAGATAAGTTATTTCCCGAGAACTGGTGAATTATAAAATACTAGTCAGGATAATGTATATTTCCCTAGTTTTTGCTTATGTTAATAGTTATGGTGCTCGGTCATAACCTTAGAATTGACATCTTGTCAGCCAATGAGAAAACAGAACAACTTTCACGACACACGCTATTTTGACAAATACTCTGCCTAATCCTCCTAAAGACTTCATTGCTTCATTGGAGAATAGCTTTTTCAAATTCATATGGAAAAACAAACCTGATAAAATCAAAAGGAACAATTTGAAAAGATTATACAAAAATGGTGGTTTAAGGATGGTTGACACAGTAACATTTTGTGAGGCTTTGAAACTAGCTACCCTGAGATCATATTGTAGAAAAACAACAGTTGAAAAAGCTCTGTAATATTCCTTTTGATGTCATTTTAAAATCTGGTGCAAATGTTGATCTAGTAACTCACATCGATAACCCTTATTGGAAGGATGTTTTGAAAACTTGGAACAAATGTTGCAAAAAAAGTCAGGTGAATTCTCGTAATATTTATGAAATCCTAGCCCAACCACTATGGTTTAACCATAATTACAAAAACCCAATACTTTAAAAAAAAACTGGGCAAGTAAAGGCATTCTTACAATTAAGGACCTGTGTGGCAAAACTGGGTTTTTATCCTTTGACAAATTGAAGGATATGTATGGCATTAAAGGCACATACCTGGACTAATTGCATGTTTTGAATATACTACCTGATTCTTGGAAATATACTATTAGACACTCTAGAAACATCCCAGTTCTTTTTAATTTACTCATAATTGAGTGTCATTTGACTTTATTGAAATCATGCAAAGGCTCTAGAATCTTTTATGACGCCATGATTTCCAATGAAGTTTTACCTAAAATGTGTCTTAAATGGCAAGAATCTTTCGCTAATGTACTTTTGATTGGAATCCGATTTTTACGGCTTATAGAAATGGTTTGAAAGATGTCAAACTACTTGATTTCCAATACAAGTTTCTACATGGTAAGAAACGCTGTTGATGTAACAGTTGTTTTGTTTGTTTGTTTGTCCTAAATTGTCGTGTCTGGACCAGACAATCCAGTGATCATCAACATGAGCATCGATCTACGGAATTGGGATACGCTGATATGTGTCAACCATGTCAGCTAGTCCGATCCCGTTAATCGCCTCTCACTACAACAGAGACGATGTCACGAAGGATGAAAAAAGGGTGATGCAGCTGGCTGCCCGTGACAGAGACAGAGCACAGATGTAACAGAGGATATTTCCAGCTGATTAAGGGCATGTGACAGCCGATGTGGAAGTAAC